CAGACCTTGCTCCTTCAGATTGCCACTTGTTCTGATCGATGGCACACACACTTTTTGAGCAGCACTTCAAAACATATGAAGAAGTGGAAAATTGAGTCTCTGAATGGTTTGCTTCAAAACAAGAAAAGTTCTATTGTGAGGGTATCTACAAATTACCTGAAATATGGGGGCGATGTGTAGCTAGTGATGGACATTACTTTGAATAAAGCACTTTTGATGTTTCACTTGAAATTAGCATGTCTTTCTTGATTACAAAATATACCCTTATTAACCGGTACACCTAGTGCAGAGGTCGGCAAACTGTGGCTCGGCAAACCACGGCTCGTGAACCACGTGTGGCTCTTTGGCCCCTTAAGTGTGGTTCTTCCACAAAATACTGGCTCTTCCACAAAATACCAACTTCTGCACATGGGCCACCAAGTTTCAATCGCACTGTACATGCGCGCCCACACATGGTATTTTGTGGAAGAGCCACACTCAAGGGTCCAAAGAGCCGCATGTGGCTCGCAAGCCGTAATTTGCCAACCACGGATCTAGTGTATAGACACAGACAATAGTATGGTACTTTGGGCAATGAGTGCATACTGCACTGTGTAGATGTTGTTTCACTGTGCTTTACACTTTAAACTTGTATGATTTTATTAACCAACTACAGGCCCAGTGCACAGATTCGTGCACTGGTGGGGTCTCTTGGCCTGACCTGCACCCTCTCACAATTCGGGACCCCTTGGGGGATGTCTGAGAGCCAGTTTCAGCCTGATCTCTACAGGCCAGGTTGAGGAACCCCACCGGTGTGCACCGGGCCTCTAGTATGCATATAAGATCTTTAGTTAATCTCTTCCCATCCTCCCCAATTCCCTCTGAGATTCATCAGTCTGTTCCATGTTCCCATGCCTGTGTGTTGAGTGTCTGCCCCCTAGTGGTCATTGAACTTCATGGCTACTGGCCGGTCAGTCAGCCAGTCACTTAAGCTTCTATATAAATAGATGTCACCTCAATAAATCCAAAAAAAATAATAAAAATTACTAAAACATAACTCATTTCTTTTTATCATTGATGAATCCTTTGAATTTTAGGAATGAAAAATAGCAAACTCTAAGTCATTCTTTCTGTAAGAAAACACCTCCAAAATGCTGCTATGCTGAGAATAAATAAAAATCATACAATATAAAAATTACTATGAATTTAAAAGAAAGGCACAACACAGTAATATGGGAGAATGGTTTGAAGGGGCTCAATTTTCTACTTGTAGAAAATTAAAACTACCTTTACTACATAAAACATAATTTTAGATACTTTAATCACTCTCTGGTAGCTGCTGTAGAAAATACTAGACTTTAAAAAAAAGTATTTTGGAGTATAATTAATGTTAGGTATACTGCAATGAGGAAGAAAATGAAGACAAGCTTATGGAGGATTTTGAATCTCAAAAGAATATATATATATATATATATATGCATTTTTTACACAAATAAAAAACTTAATATATACACATATTATAAATACTAGAGGAGGCCTGGTGCACAAAAATTTGTGCACTCGGGGGTGGGGGGGGAAGGGAGGGTCCCTCAGCCCGGCCTGTGCCCTCTCACAGTCTGCGACCCCTCAGGGAATGACCACCTGCTGGCTTCGGCCTGCTCCCCGGGGGATTGGGCCTAAGATGGCAATAAGACATCCCTCTGGCAGCTCGGCAGCCCTCGGGGGATGTCCACTTGCCAGTGGGGAGCAGGCCGAAACTGCAGTTGGACATCCTTAGTGCTGCTGAGGAGGCAGGAGAGGCTCCCACCACCACTGCTGCACTGGCAGCCATCAGCCTGGCTTGTGGCTGAGCAGAGCTCCTCCCATGTGAGAGTGCCCGGACCACCAGAGGGCAGCTCCTGCATTGAGCGTCTGCCCCCTGGTGGTCAGTGTGCATCATAGTGACCAGTCATTCCCATTCCTTCTCCTGTTAGGGTCAGTTTGTATATTACCCTTTTACTATATAGGATAGAGTCCTGTTGAACGGGTGGGGGCCAGCTGGTTTGCCCGAAAGGGTGTCCCGGATTAGGGTGGGGGTCCCGCTTAGGTGCCTGCCCAGCCTGAATGAGGGTATGATGGCTGTTTGCAGCTGGTCACACCCACTTCAGGGTGGGGGTCCCCACTGGGGTGCCTGGCCAGCCTGGATGAGGAGATGATGGCTGTTTGCAGTTGGTCACAACCCCTTCAGCGTGGGAGTCCCCAGTGAGGTGCCTGGCCAGTCTGGGTGAGGGGCTGAGGGCCGTTTTCAGGCTAGCGGGTGACTGAAACTCCCAACCTCTCCTTTTATTCTTTTTTTCTTTTTTTATTCTGGGATTTACTTACCTTCTATGGCTGTCACTGGAGCTGAGAGCCAGCTTTAGCTCTGAGGCTTGGCTCGAGATCTGAGACCTCAGCTGCTGAAAGCAGGTATCTGGGCTTTGTTTAGCTTCTATAATTGAAACACTGTTGCAACTCCAGCTCTGAGGCCCGGCTGGCTGAAAGCAGGTTTCTGGGGATTGTTTAGCTTCTATAATTGCAACATGGTTGCTAAGGGTGCAGCTCAGAGCTGGGCAGCAGCAGGCGGGGAACCTTGGCTTCCTCCATCACTGGAGCAAGCAAACCCTCTGTTCGCTTCAGCTGCCTGGCTGCCTGCTGCCATCTTGGTTGGCAGTTAATTTGCATATCGCCCTGATTAGCCAATGGGAAGCATGTTGGAGGAACGGTTAATTACCATGTTTGTCTATTATTAGATAGGATTTGCTATCAGATAGATAATAAGAATAAATAGTAAATTCCAAAAAAAGAACTGGTACCATGTAAGAAATTTTATTCCCTTTTTCCATTTAACAATATTCTTAGTGAAACAGATAAATACATATTACTTTGCAATTGCATGCTATGCTCTAATACATTCTATCTTAACAAAGACCACTTTCATAGAAATGTGAGGAGTGAATGCAGGGGAGGGGTATTACAATCTGTATTATTAGAATTGTGTATGCGGAATTCTGCACACAGAATTCTCAATGCAAAACTCTGCATTAAGCCTGAATTTATGGCTGGTCTATGTGGGAGGTGTAATAAAGTTGGATAGTGTGTAAGGCAGTATCTGGGATGGTCTTGTCTGCTTTCTTCTCCCGCAGAAAAGTGGAAAATGGTATTAAAAGGAATTATCTGCTAATATTGCTGGTATTGTTTAGAGATGATGGTGGTAGAAATGCATGCAAGATTGGGTACTATGTCTACTTAATGTACTTTCTAATTAGTCAAGTATACATACTGACTATATGCATATCTCTTATTTATTCAATATAAATCAGTAAAATATAATGCGTTACCCTTTCTCAGTTATATAATTTCAACTATTACAATGGAAGAATGATCATATTGAAGCTAATTTGCATCAATTAAGGAGCATTAGGCCACAAACAATAGTAAAGGGCTTAGGCTAATTGAGGAAAAAAGTCAAGAACTTATTGAAAAGTTAGTGTGAAGGCTTAGTGGCAGGTTAAAACAGCCTGGTCTTTCAAAATAGAGGAATTTTAAAACAGCCTGGTCTTTCAAAAGAGAGGAATTGAAGCAAGTCTAGCGGTGGAAAAACCTTAATTGGAGTTGCAGACAAAGGATAACTCACCACCACCATCACCATCACCCCTCAATCTCCGTCTCTTCTGATTTAATTTTCCAAGTTATCGGTACAGATTGGTCAAGCATGGATGGATGTTTACCCCTAGGTCCATTGATGCAAGGCAGGTAGACAAGTAATGACTTGGCTGGTCTGACTGACATGCCAACATATTTTGAGAGAAAATAGAGCCTCTTTTCAAAGGAAGAAGAAAAAAATACTAGTAAGATGAAACCAACAGCAACTATAATCTATATCTTAGCTCCTTTGAACTTGTAGACAGACAGGTGCATATGCAGTTCTTATACATGCATTTGCAGAGAGAAAGATGGAGCACAAACTGAACAGTTTCAAGATAATACATGTATATACAGTTGTGCAAAATGCCACAGTGCAGTTTTAAGCTTTAATAATTTCGGAAGGATAAATGCTGCAAATTATAAAGAGCATCATGTAAAATGGGAACTATTTGAATTTCCCGTCTCCTGTATAGTTTTTTGAATGTTAAATAACTCATTTAATTTTCTTTTTGTTTGTTTCTGAGCCTGTGTAGAAACACAAAAATTAAAAATGATCTTTGAAAATGTGTAAAGTTAAACAAGCATAAAAACCTACAAATAATTAAACATGCAAATTGTGTTTTTCACAAGTTGGTAGCTTTTACCCCTCTAAAGTTATTAAGCATAAATACTCACTGTGACATTTTGGACATCATATATATATATATATATATATATATCAGAATATTTTGAAAGTGCTCATTTTGTGCTCCATCCTTCCCCATGGATATGTATGCATAAGAAGTGTATATGCACCTGTGTGCCCACAGTACACAGAAAGTAACGGGTGGGTTATAGTTGCTTTTGATTCCATTTCTGCAATACCTTATTTTCTCTCAATAATATCTGTCTTCCAGGCAAATAATCATGCAAGTGAATATATGATAGGGAGATGTTGGAAAGATGTATATCTTCATTTAAAGAAGGATTTAGAAAAAGTATGTAAAATTGTTTAAAAGGACCAATGTCATGGAAATGCGGGCGTCAGTGCAGGGGAGGGGTACTAGAATCTGTACTATTAAATCCTGTAGTGTCCACACTCTTTCATCAAGCAGGTTTACGGATGGTAGATGTGTGGGTATAATAAAAGAGCTAGGAGAGAGGGTAAGGCAGTGTTTGGGATGGTGTGTTCTGCTTCTGGTCCCTCGGTCTTAGCATTAAAGGGGCTGTCTGCGCAGATGGGTGGTGTGGTCGCAGAGATGGTGGTGCTAGAAATGGAAAAAAGGTTGGATACTGTGTCTGTTGAAGGGAATGAAGCCTCCTCGGTGGAGTCTAACCTGCTTCCCTTCCTCTCTTTTAGGGGCTGAAAAACAGTCTGTTTAGTTGTTCAAGTTGGTCTTTGTGTCAAAATGTTTTTCCTCCTGGCAACGTAATGTTGCTTTCATAAGTTTCTTGTTCTTCCTCTTAAGCCTTTTGTATTTCATACGAGCTATGGCTCGATGAAACACATGGCAGCTGAAGCCCTCCCTGACGCCGTTCTCCACGTGCTCCTGAAGGAGCTCCAAGGTAGGGAATACGTGGCAGCAAGCCATGCACCTGAACCCGCTCTCCAGGGCCTTCCGCAATGAGACCCTGCGATGCACCACCAGGTTTGGAGGTTTTGTGGGACAGTCAGCCTTCTCCCTCTTCTCTTGGGCTCGACTGTCTACGCTGGGCTCAGGGTCAATTAGGAGATTCTTCCCAGGCATGTGAGAGAGGGGGACATTTTTATCAACCCCTTCAATATAGGTCATTTCTTCTATTTTGGTCTTTTTTGAGGGAGGCTCCCATCCTTCCTCTGTCTGGCACAAGACAGCCACACCCCTTTTCATTTGTACATGCGTATAGTAAATTTTCATGACCCTTAGATCTGTCCCATGTACTGAGGACATAAAGGGCTCCTTATTACTAGCTGAAAGTGAAGAACTGTAGGTATATGAATAGTCAGAGGAACTCTTTGTTTCCACCAGGTCCTTGGGTACAGGTCTCTCCTTGATTCCTAGGAACGAAAATTTAAAACATAAAAAATTAGAATGGTTTGTGTGACAGCTGTAGGAGGTATGATGGCCATGATTTACGGGAGCAGGTGAAGCACCTCTGTATGTGATATTTCAGAATTCTGAGTGTTAGTGTGTTTTACCTGAGGTATTTACATGGTTATAACTATGTGGGAATGAGGATGTAGGATTATATGTATGTACTTGTGGAGTTGTATTATATTCTGGGACATATCTGGGAATGCTTTTTGATGTTGCTTAAAGGCAATGGCTAATGAGTGTGTGCATGTTTGTTATGTGTTATGACAGCACATGTGAGCAGTGCAGGAATGGTACCGGGTATCACTCTGAGATTGTGAGACTGAGAATGTTAGTGAAGATGTATTTGAGTTCTCAGAATGTTCAGCTCATGAAGGTCTGAAAGGCTGGTGGCTGAAGTGCCATATGGTTAGAGACACAGCAAATGAAAATTCAATTTCTTTAGGACATGAATGTCTTCTAGAGTTTGATGTAAACGTGTTATCTGTGTGATGGGGGTGTGAATTATTTATGGAATTAGTGTGTACATGGGTGAGTTTGAAAATGATTGTATGAAGAAATGAAGGTAAGAGTATACCTAGGTAATGCTATTATAGATGGTGGATAAAGACCTGTGTATTTGAGAGAACAAACAAAAAGAAGGAGAAATGGGGCAATTCTATATAATAAAGAGCTCATATGCAAATGGTCATTACACCCTCGCAGCCTCATGCCCTCGCATCCTCGAAGCCAGGCTGGGGTTGAGGACAGGTCAGGGGACATGAGACTATGCCCCCTGTGTGAGTACCAGGTCGGTGGACCTGAGGCTGCTCCAGGGGACCTGAGGCTGCAACCCCTGCCGTGCGGGGCTTGATGGGGGTGGGGTCAGCCAGGTTTGGGTCTTGAATGATTTCAAGGCTCGCATGGGTATGTGGGGACTTGACTCTGGGTCTCGCAGCATGCCCCAGACTCTGACAAGAGGGAGATGTTCATATACATTTAACTAACTTTCTTTCATCTCTGACACTTCTATTATAGAGAAAGAGCAAATAGCAATATTAAAATATTTCCTCTAATTAATTCCCCTTTAATTTGCAGGAATTTCATGCACTGCGCAACTAGTAGCTTATATGAAGGCGTACAGATGTATGAGTGTGTGAGGATCTGAGTTTGTGCTCATTGAGGGGAAGGTTCTGAGTTAACTCCCATAGACATGTCAGCACTGCCCACTACCCCACCCACAGCAGGCCCACTGCTGCTATATTGGAAATTTGTGCTGAGGGACCGTGCCCTGTCCTGGAAGGCACACTCACTACTGGTCCCTCTGCAGAATCCTTAGTACTAGTCATCTGACTGAGCCCTTTCCAGGTTTTGAGGGGAAAGTGAACTAAGTAGAGAGTAGGCAGAGCAGCTGAGCTGCATCTCTTGACCAAACGCAAGTCCCACCTTTGTTTATTCCTTACCATCTTCATTGAGACGGGGAAGCTTCGATGGTGAGGAAACACAGGTGAAATATTCAGAGGAGGATGCATTTTCTCCTGCTGCCTGATTATAGCCTGGGGCCTCGATGAATGACTGAGTCTGAGGTACATCCCCTTGAATGTTGCCGGGTCCTGGGCAATGGAATAAAAAAGAACACTGAGATGAGGCATTTTTGTGGGGTCTGTGCTAATTAAAAGACTACATGTTGTGCAGGCATTATATGCCGAGCATCAGCACTTCACATGGCAATTACTCTCACAAAAATTAAGGAGACTTGCCCATTTAAATTCCATTTACTCCAAACTATAAGTAAACACATTAAATGGTGTGTTTGGTGGATGTCAGTGGGAGTGGGTGTCTTGTATGTGATTTTTCTGGTGATCTATATGGATCATCAAACACTCAGAACCATGTTTGAAGGAGAGTACGTAGGAACTAGACATGGATATCAACTCTATTTTCTCATCAAAAATTGTACCAATAGGGGATATATGGTACGAGTTTTAAGAAGCATTCTGCATGCATATGTATCTATATTGAGATATAAATAGAGATATGTAAAAAGATAAATATTTAATTTTGAAGAAATTAATTTCTAATTGTTATTATGTCACTGTTCCTGTTTCATTGTTAATGAAGACCAATGCTCATTATTTAAATGTTTAAAATTATCATCATGTCTCATAATTGTGCCTAATAAATGTAGTATTCCCATTTTTAGCAGTATTATATAGTGAATGTAATATGCTTGGTGTTTAAGTTCATAATTTGTTGGTTAAAGCTGGGTTTAAAAAAGTATAAAAAAAGAATAAAAGTAAAAATAAATAAATAAAAAAGGGTTAAAAGTTAATAATGTATGATTGATTTGTTGTTGGAAAATCTGGATATAGGATGGGTTCTTTCTGAATGAGGATGGTATGTATGCTTTGTGCCTGTGTGTTACTTCAACACATATTTATGTGTGTAGATTGCTTTCCTATTGTTATGCATCTGTCTGCATGTTTAATACATCATGCAGTTTAGGTATGGTATGTTATTACTGAGATTATTCTCTGTAAGATTGGTGGAATTAATGCATCTGCAAAGTATGAGGAAATAACTAAAGAATGTGAGGATGTGAAAACCAAGCTGTATAAGAGAAAGAATCCTGGGCTTTGAGAAAGATGTCGGAGAGCGCAGAGAAGAGTGTGTACGTTCACTGTGCGGTAACACGAGATTGCATTAGAAAATAAGTTGTGAAACATTGAGTTCTGGAGGGATTAGACTGAATGTGCAAGCTAAAGCCTAGCAGTCTAACCCTTAAGCATTCAGCAAACAGAAATGCAATGTTCAGAACATCAACTTTTTAAGTAATTCCAGATTCAAAGCAACCCAAATACTCAGAAAAGTATAATCAATACAGAAATTACATTTATGCATGGTATACAGAATGAACAGACTAACATCACATGTAACGTGAATAAATCACACAAATATAAGGATCAGAAAAAGGAACCAGATACAAAGTATATATTGTGCCCTTCTATTTACATGAAATTTGAAAACAGAAATACTCATCTAGTGTGTTAGAAGTCAGAGAAATTATAACTCCTTGTATGGTACAGGCGGCAAAATTAGATCATGGAGAATGCAGATGCATGTGGAAAACTATAAGGAAATGAATGGTGGGGAGAGTGACTGCAGATACGACTGATAAGGGATGACTGCGAATGTTACACTTTGCCAATGAAAATATATGGATGTGAAGGGATCTTCAACTGGGTGTCTCTGTGCTCTACGTCAAGTTCAGTCTTGAGGATCTACCACTTGTGTCTGTTTTAACTTATTAGAGCTTCACACTGTCACTGTAATATAACATGCCCTTGTCTGTCTCATAGGAACATACTCTTCCATTTTTCTCTGATAAAACTCTCATCCCTTTAGGTCCTCTCCTATTATTTCCTCAAACGCTGTTCGGCACTATCTCCTTGCACGCGCTCTAGTCCTTTTCAGTGTTTCCCGTGGAATGCATTTCATCCACAGCTGGTCACATTGAAGATGATGCAGAAGTGTTTGAGTTTTTGTTCTGAGAGGCCTTTTGTTGACTAATGGGAAGAACCACTCAGCTCAACTCTGGGCCCTGTCTACATCCCCACCCCCTTTGTGTACTATTCAATAGCCCCTCCCTACCAGCACCAGTTAGCCTGTCTTTACAAGAGATGGAGGATAAATTGTCCAAAGAAGAGGCCTTCCATGCTTTCTGGCCTTGATTTAGGGCCACTGTCTTATGTCTGTGCCACAAAGTATCTTCTTTTAAACTCAACTTTGCTGAGAAATTAAATAAAAATAATAGAGATGCGGCCCATGCTTGTTATCTGTGTATTTTTCTGTCTATTAAACAAACAATAAGAGTCTGCTATGTGACATGTTCAGTGAACACACACAGCCCCCTCTTCATGGAATGTGTAAAATGGTTCCCATGAAAATATTAAATGTACAGAAATAGGCATTGTGTTAGTATGTGTCATGGGTGACTGGGTTTGCAAAAGAAAAGGTTATTTTTAAATGGAACAGAGACTGCTGTCTCCTTTCTACCTGGACATACAACTATGTTATAGCTATCAATTTCCATGGCAGGTAGTTCTCACCATGAAATTACATTCGTACAATGAAAAATGAATAGAAATTACGTGTGCCACTAACAGACATCGCATACAAACCTCCTATGTGTCCCTCCATGATCTTCCATTTCCGCCCTGACTGGGACACGGGCATATTAAGGGCTCCAAGATAGGAAACATTTTGTTGTAATTGATGGAATCCTAGGAAAGATAGTTGCAAACATAAGAAAACTAGAATGTGTGTGTAGGGGGTGGGGTACTGAGGGGGGGGCCTGTGGGAGGTAAGATGGCCATGCCCTATGTGAGCATGTAGAGTGAGAGTACATCTGTGTGCGATATTTCAGAATTCTGTGTGCGGAATGCCTCACCTGAGGTATTTACATGGTGTAACTATGTGTGCGGTATGCTTTATTTGAGGTATTTACGTGGCATAATTATGAGGATATAGTATTGTATGTATGTTTGTGTGAGTTGTATGTATGTTCTGGGATATTTCCCATGAGTGTTTTTGATGTTGGTAAAAGGGAATGGTAAAAGCCTTGGTGGCTGAAGTAGCTTGTGGATTAGAAAGAGAGCAGATCAAGGTTCATTTCCTTTAAGACACATGAATTTTCAAGTGTTTGACCTAGAATGAGGGATTTAAAACAGATTATCTGTGTTATTGCATGTAAATTATTTTTAGATTTAGTGTGGAATGGGTGAAGGAATCAAGGTAAGAGTGTACCTAGGTAATGCCACTAGAGAATGGGAAGACAAGTGTGGAATGAAGTCCTGTGTATTTAAGAGAAAAAGTTAAAAGAAGAAATAGGGACATACCTGATATGAAGGAGTACAGATGTGTGAGTGTGTGAGGAGAATATCAGTTTGTGCTCACCTGAGGGGCAGGTTCTGAGTAAAACTGCAAACACATATCAGCTCTGTCCACTACCTCAGCCACAGCGGTCCCAGTGCTGTTACGCTGGGAATGTGTGCTGAGCGGCCTTGCCCTGTCCTTGAAGGCACACTGCCTACTTGTCCCTGTGCAGAAGCCTTAGTACTAGTCTGTCGGCCCTCAATCCCTTTCCTGTTTTTGATGGGAAAGTGAAATTAGTAGAGACTGGGCTGAGCAGCTCAGCTGCATCTCCTGACCAAGCTCAGATCCCGCCTTTGTATATTCCTTACCATCCTCCTCATGGTGGGCGAGCTTGTACGGTGAAGACACACAGCTGAAATATTCAGAGGAGGATGTATTTTCTCCTGCTGCCTGACTACAGCCTGGGGCCTCCACAAATGACTGAGGCGCATCCTGTTGGGCTTTGCAGGGGCCTGGAATAAAAAAGAACATTGAGATGTGGCGTTTTGTGGGGTCTGTGCCATTTCAAAAACTACATGTTGGGTGGACATTACATGTCAGGCATTATTACCACACATGATAATTGTTTTCATAAAAATTAAGATGGCTTTCCCATATAAAATGTCATTAACTGTAAAGTCTAAACAAACACTTATTAAAACTGTGTTTGGTGGTTGCCACTGGGATTGGGTATCTTGTATGTGATATTTCTGGTGATGTGTATGGATTATCATATACTCAGAAGTATGCCTGGAAAAGAGTATACATGAACTAAAATGTGGATAGAAACTCAATTTTCTCATGAAAAATTGCACAATTAAGGAATATGCGGTGCGAGTTTTATGAAGCATTCTGCATGTATATCTATTTATATTGATATCTATATTGAACTACATATATAGAGAGATGTGAAAAGATAATTTTTGAATAGATTAACCATTTTGTGTTCTCATGTCACTGTTTCTGTTTCATTGTTCACAAAGCTCAGTGCTCATTATTTTACCGTTTAAGATTATCATCATCTCTCATGAACGTTTCCGGTAAATGCATTTTTCACATTTTTAGCAGTATGGTATAGTGAACATAATGTGATTGGTGTTTAGTTCATAATGTGTTGGTTAAAACTGGGTTAAGATTTTATACTGTGATTGATTTGTTGTTTGCAAATGTGAATATGGATAAGTTTTGTGTGACGTGGATGGTATGTGTGCTTTGTATCTGTATGTTAGTTAAGCACATATATGTGTGTACATTACTTTTCCTCTACTGATGGATTTTTGTGTGTGTTTTACATATCATGTTGTTTAGATATGGAGTGTTATTACTGAGAATATTATCTTTGAAGCTAGTGGAATTAGTGTACTTGCAAAAATATGAGGAAATAATTAAAGAATTTGAGGATGTGAAAACCAAGTTGCATAAGAGAAAGAATCCTGGGCTTTGAAAAAATGGCAGAGAGTGCAGAGAAGAGTGTGTAAATTAGGTGTGCAGTAACACGAGATTGCATTAGAAAGCAGATGGTGAAAAACTGAGTTCTGAAAGGGCCAATATAGAATAAGCAAGCTAAGGCCTAGCAGTCTAAATGTTAAGTATTGACCAGACAGAAATGTCTATATTGAAAAGTACGTGTAATATAATGCCCAAAACATCACCTTTTCAAGTAATTCAGATGGAAAGCACCCAACTGCTCAGAAAAGTATGATGAATAAAGAAATTACATTCGCGCAATGGTATACATTGAGTGAACAAACTGAAGTCACATGCAGCATGAATAAATTATACAAATACAATGATGAGAGAAAGAAACCAGACACAAAGCATATATTGTGCCCTTCAGTTTCCATAAAATTTAAAAACAAGGATACTCATCTAGTGTGTTAGGAGTCAGAGACATTTCATCTTTCTGTGGTACAGACAAAATGGAGCATGGGGAATTTAGATGCCTTGTGGAAGACTATAAGGAAATGAATGTTAAGCCGGTGAGTGCAAATGGGTCTGATAAGGGATGACTGTAAACGTAAAATATTGGCTATGAACATATATGAATGTGATGGGGTCTTCGACTTGTGTATGTCTGTACTGTATCTCAAGTCAGTTCTTGAGTATCCTACCACTTTTGTTCTGTTTTAAATTATTAGTGCTTTCACACGTTCCTGGTAATATAACATGCCATTTTCCAGGTCACAGGAACATATTCTTTCATGTTTCTTTGGAAAAACTCTAATTCACTTAGTCCCTCTCCTATTATTTCCTCAAACAGAATACCGTTCTCCACTGCTCTCTTCAGGTTTGCGCCAGTCCTTGTAAGTGCTTTTCCCTTAGAATGTTTCCATTGTTGATCACATTAAAGATGAGGCAGATGCATTTGAGTTTTTTATTTAATGGTAATTTTTTTTTCAAAACAATTCTTTATTGTTGAAAGTATTACATATATCCCACTTTTCCCCCGTAGTCCTCCCCATCCCACTCCTTGTGTCAACTAATGGGCAGAAACACGCAGCACAGCTCTGGGTTTTGTCTAGATCCCATCTTCACTTTGCATCCTATTCAATTGTCCATCCTTACCAGCACTAGTTACCTTGTCTTTATTTTTTTTTATTTTTAAAGTCTTTTTATTTTATTTTTAAAATATATTTTATTATTTTTTTTTACAGAGAGGAAGGGAGAGGGATAGAGTGTTAGAAACATCGATGAGAGAAACATTGATCAGCTGCCTCCTGCACACCCCGTACTGGGGATATACCCACAACCAAGATAGATGCCCTTGACCAGAATTGAACTTGGGACCCTTAAGTCCACAGGCCAAAGTTCTAACCACTGAGCAAAACTTGTTAGGACAGTTAGCTTTTCTTTAAAAGAGATGCAGGATAAGTCATCTGAAGAAGAAGCTGCCCATGGTTTCCAGCCTGGAGTTAGGGCCACTGCCTTGTGTCTGTGCTGCAAATTTGCTGAGAAATTAGACATATAGAGATGTGGTCCATGTTTGTTATTTGTGTATTTGTCTGTCCTTTAAACAAACAAAAAGCTTCTGCACAGCAAAAAAAAAAATCAACAAAATGAAGAGAGAACCCGTTGTATTGGAGAATATATTTACCAATGTTACATCACATAAAGGGATATTTTCCAAAATATATAAATAAATTATAAAACTAAAAACAGGAAGAATAAACCCCAATTTAAAAATGGCAAAAACCTGAATAGACACATTTCCAAACAGGACATACAGATGTCCCATAACATATGAAAAACTGCTCAAAATCACTAATCATCAGATAAATGCACAGAGAAACCACAATGAGTCCTGGTTGGTGTGGTTCAGTTTGTTGGATTTGATTCCAGTCAGGGCACATAACCAAGTTGGGGGTTTGATACCAATTTGGGTAGTGTGCAGGTGGAAGCCTATAGAAGTTTCTCACAACAATCTCTCTCTCTCTCTCTCTCTCTCTCTCTCTCTCTCTTCCGTTATCTAAAAAAATTATTATTTTTAAATCACAAAAAACAATGAGATATGACCTCATACCCGCCAGAATAACTACCATCAATAAAATCAATAAACAACAAGTGTCAATGAGGATATGGGAAAAAAAAGGCACCCTAGAGCACTGCTGGTGGGAATACAGACTGGTGCAGCCACTGTGGAAAACAGTATGGAGTTTCATCAAAAAATTTAAAATGCAACTGCCTTTTGACCCAACAATTTCACTTCTGGGAATATATCCTAAGAAAATTGAACCCCCAATTTGAGAGAATATATGTACCCTTATGTTCATTGCAGCATTATTTATAATAGCCAAGATATGGAAACATCCAAAGTGTACATCAGGAGATAAGTTTTAAAAAAATCTGTGGTACATTTAATCAATGAAATACTATGCAGTCATAAAAAAGAAGGAAACCATACCTTTTGCAACAGCATGGATGGACCTGGAGATTATTGTGCTAAGTGAAATAAGCCAGTCAGAGAAAGACAAATAGCATATGATCTCACAGGTGGCATCTATTGAACAAAATAAACTGACAAAATAGAAACAGAGGCATGGATACCCAGAACAGACTAAAAGATATCAGAGGGGAGGAGGGGGAGATGGGATGAAAGAAGGTCAAAAGATTAGCCAAAGAACATATATGCATGAGCCACAGACACAGACAGCAGTGTTGTGATGGCCAGAAGAAAGGACGTCAGTGTAGGCGGAGGTGCTAAAGGTGACGGGGGGAGGGAGAATGGGAACATCTGTAATAGTGCAAACAATAAACATAAAGTAAAAAAACAACATAAAGCAATACAATTATATAACAATAATACTAATTAAAAGGGTCTACTATGTGAAAATTTCAGTGAACACAAATGGGCTCAACCATCCTGGACAGGGTAACATGGCTTCTATGAAAAGTATTGTATGTGCAGTCAAATTTACTGTGACAATAAATAATGGGTTTGCACAAAGAATGCTATTTTTAAATGGAACAGAGTCTTCTGTCTCCTTTCTATCTGGACATACAACTATATTCTACTTATCAGCTTTTCTTGCAGGTAGTTTTGACCATGTGATTATGTTTGTACAAAGGGAATGACATGTGCCCCTTCCAGACACTGTCTCACACACCTCCTATGTGCATCTCCATGGTCCTCCCTTTCCTAGCTGATGGGATGTTGATATCCTGGGGTCTATTTGAAAGCTTCATGTTAATGATAACAAAGTTTACCTCAGCTCAGGCCCATAAATTATCTCATGGAAGAGACTTGCCTTGAGGCCTGCACATATGTGCTGATTTGTCATATAAGCAAGTAATAGATCCATTTGTATATTAGTCACTAAAGCAGTATTTCTCAACCTTCCTAATGCTGCGACCCTTTAATACAGTTCCTTATGTTGTGGTGACCCCCAATTTCATTGTTACAAATTGAACATAATTAAAGCATAGTGATTAATCACAAAAACAATATGTAATTATATATGTGTTTTCCGATGGTCTTAGGCGATCCCTGTGAAAGGGTCATTCGACCCCCAAAGGGGTCGCGACCCACAGGTTGAGAACCACTGCACTAAAGGCTGATCTACTCTAATGAAATAGAGATATTATATGTTTTTGAGAGAGAAAAAATTGGAATGGGTACATACTTATGCGCAATTATGTTAGATTTCTATTTTTCTCTTATTTCTGTTCTGCTAGTATATGTGTGTATGTGTAAGTTTGAATGTCGCATAGTTCATGTTTAATAACCTCTCTAAACATGCACTAATAGTTTTTGAAAGTGGAATGAAGACAGCCTTTTCTGAAGGTCCACTGGAGGATGCCGAAATCCCAAACAAGTTAGAAATATCAGTCCTCTTTAGATGTGAGCGACCATTGGAACTTTGGGGTTGGCTCCAAGCTGTCACCCTCCCACCACTGAACAATGGGACAATGGTTCTTCTGCCTAGTGGTTACTTGTTTACTTTTAATCTCCATAGTAACCAAATTATTTCAATTT